GCAGTGTATATAAGAGAGAGAGAGAGAGAGAGAGAGAGAGAGAGAGAGAGAGAGAGAGAGAGAGAGAGAGAGAGAGAGAGAGAGAGAGAGAGAGGTGGTATGCTCTAACGGCGTACACCGGTAAGAGCCTGACTTAGTTTCGGGCAAACTGGTGTTTTAAAAGAAAAAGAAAAAAAATCGGGCCGAGAGATTGTGCAACGCAGAGTGTGAGGGGCGGACTAAAATTCATGTGTGTACCACACCGTGGCACCAGATCAGAATGGAACCATTACCTTGGAATGGAACCGCACCTAACACATTAAAAAGGGGGAATTACCACCTTGGAATGGAATTGAAACCATCACGTTGGACTGGAACTGAAATTGCTGACTTGGAATGGCACTGGAACCGCGACCTTGGAATGGAATTGAACCGCCGTCTTGTAATGGAACTGGAACCTAACCTTGGAATGGAATCGAAACCACCGCCCTGGAATGGGACCGGAATGGCACCTTGGAATGGGACTGGAACGGCACCTTGCAATGGGACTGGGACCACCACCTTGGAACGGAATCAGAACCACCACCTTGGAATGGAACCAAAACCACACCACCTTGGAATGGAACCGGAAACTCAACCTTGCAATGGGACTGGGACCACCACCTTGGAATGGAACTGCAATCTCAAACTTGCAACGGGACTGGGACCACCACCTTGGAATGGAACTGGAATGCAACTGAAAGGGCAACCTTGGAATGGAACTGGGACCACAACCCTTGAACGGAATCAGAACCACCGCCGTGGAATGGAACCAAAACTACACCACCTTGGAATGGAACTGGAACCTCAGACTTGCAACGGGACTGGGACCACCACCTTGGAATGGAACTGGAACTGCAACGTTGGAATGGAATCGAAACGACTGCCATGGAATGGAATGGAAACCTTCACCTTGGAATGAAACCGGAAACATGCGGGAATGGGACCGAGTCAGAATGGAACCAACAACAGTGCGAGAATAGAGCCGAACGCATGACCCTCTCTGCCTCCGTATCAGAAACCACCACCTTGTACTGGAATCGATACCACCGCCTTGGAATGGTACTGGCACCACAACCCTGGAACAGAATCAGAACCACCACCTTGGAATGGAACCAAAACCAGACCACCTTGGAATGGAACTGGAACCTCAACCTTGCAATGGGACTGGGACCACCACTGTGGAATGGAACTGGAACTTCAAAGTCGGAATGGAATCGAAACCACCACCTTGGAATGAAATTGGAACCGTGCGGGAATGGGACTGAGTCAGAATGGGACCAAGTGCGAATGGAAGCTACAACAGAGCGAGAATAGAACCGAACCCATGACTCTCTCTGCCTATGGTTGCTGGACAATTCTCTATGACATCATATATGTACGTACATATCTTGGGTATCCTTGTGAACATCCACGTCATCCTCAGCTTGCCTGTCCTATCTGCCGGGGTCGGGGCTCCTCTTCCTGACTGGTCAATAGAATCAACAGACGGTCGAGGGTTCAGCCTCCTGATGAGTCGGGGAAACTCTGACGAAACAGTTTGTCACAGCCCCTCGTTTGTTGTCCTCTTCTCCCTCTCTGCCTACGGTTTACCGGGCAGTTCTGTTTGGTGATGTATATATACAGTGTGACAATATA